TGGCTATATGCCTCAGGTAAGCTTTTCGTGATCATTAGTATTTTATTGACCAAATAATCATGTTTTCCTTTTTCTAGGAAATTGCTTTGGTGGAGGAAATGACCGTTAAGGAGACAGTTTATTATTTTGGTCGTATTTATGGCATGAGAGATGAGAAGATCCGCGAAAAATTTAAAATTTTACGTGATCTTTTACAGCTGCCACCCGCTAAGCAACTGGTTAAGAAATGTAGTGGTGGTCAACAGAGACGTGTATCGTTCGCCTGTGCCATGATACATGATCCGGAATTGTTGATATTGGATGAGCCTACAGTAGGCTTGGATCCAATGTTGAGAGAGAAGTGAGTATTGAAATAAAAAGTTCGACTCTAGTTCAGTTCCAGATCGGTTCTAGTTCAGTTCTAGTTCAGTTCTAGTTCAGTTCTAGTTCAGTTCTAGTTCAGTTCTAGTTCAGTTCCAGTTCAGTTCTAGTTCAGTTCTAGTTCAGTTCTAGTTCAGTTCTAGTTCTAGTTCAGTTCTAGTTCAGTTCTAGTTCAGTTCTAGTTCAGTTCTAGTTCAGTTCTAGTTCAGTTCTAGTTCAGTTCTAGTTCAGTTCTAGTTCAGTTCTAGTTCAGTGCTAGTTCAGTTCTAGTTCAGTTCTAGTTCAGTTCTAGTTCAGTTCTAGTTTAGTTCTAGTTCAGTTCTAGTTTAGTTCTAGTTCAGTTCTAGTTCAGTTCTAGTTCAGTTCTAGTTCAGTTCTAGTTCAGTTCTAGTTCAGTTCTAGTTCTAGTTCAGTTCTAGTTCAGTTCTAGTTCAGTTCAGTTCTAGTTCAGTTCTAGTTCAGTTCTAGTTCAGTTCTAGTTCAGTTCTAGTTCAGTTCTAGTTCAGTTCTAGTTTAGTTCTAGTTCAGTTCAGTTCTAGTTCAGTTCTAGTTCAGTGCTAGTTCAGTTCTAGTTCAGTTCTAGTTCAGTACTAGTTCAGTTCTAGTTCAGTTCTAGTTCAGTTCTAGTTCAGTTCTGGTTCAGTTCTAGTTCAGTTCTAGTTCAGTTCTATTCTAGTTCAGTTCTAGTTCAGTTCTAGTTCAGTTCTAGTTCAGTTCTAGTTCAGTTCTAGTTCAGTTCTAGTTCAGTTCTAGTTCAGTTCTAGTTCAGTTCTAGTTCAGTTCTAGTTCAGTTCTAGTTCAGTTCTAGTTCAGTTCTAGTTCAGTTCTAGTTCAGTTCTAGTTCAGTTCCAGTTCAGTTCTAGTTCAGTTCTAGTTCAGTTCTAGTTCAGTTCTAGTTCAGTTCTAGTTCAGTTCTAGTTCAGTTCTAGGTTAGTTCTAGTTCAGTTCTAGTTTAGTTCTAGTTTAGTTCTAGTTTAGTTCTAGTTCAGTTCTAAATCAGTTCTAAATCAGTTTTAGTTCAGTTCGAGTTCGGTTATAGTTCAATTCTAGTAAAGTTGTAGTTCTATTCTAGTAGTTCAGTTCTTCAGTTCTAGAGCTTTAAATAGATATTTCAGACTTACTCAGAGGTTTCCAAATTATACTATAATATATGACGATGATATTTACCTAAAAAGAAATAAGCAAAGAAAACAGATTTAGTTTTAAATTAAATATTATATATATAAATATTATATATATATTAAATATATTTTCAATTTCTTAGAATCTGGGATTTTTTAGTAGAATCAACCAGAAATAGTAAAATGGCTGTGATTATAACGACACATTATATAGAAGAAGCTAAACAAGCCAATTGTGTAAGTAAAATTTTAAATTTCTGTACTTATTTTAAGAAATAAACATAATCCCCCCTTAAAAACTTCGCCCACAGATTGGTTTAATGCGTAAAGGTGTTTTGCTGGCTGAAGATACACCGGAAAATATTATGATAAGATTTGAAGTCAATTCTATAGAAGATGCTTTTCTTATATTGAGTCAAAAACAAGGTGATAATGATGTTATTGAGGCTTCATTGGCACAACTGCCCTCCAATCAACAACATGCCTCGAATGCTATATGCAATGGTGTCGAAGTTATAGATGCTTCGACCATAACACAAACAACTGAAAAGGCAAATTTGGAAACGAATATCGAGAAACCACCGATAGAGAATGTAGTGCAGTCCGAGGAGAATGATAATCTAAAGAAATGTTTCTTTACCACTAAGGGCAGGATAAAAGCGTTAATGACCAAAAATTTTGTACAATTATTTAGACAACCGAGGTAAGTTATATTTATGCTCCTTATTGCCGCATTAAAAATTGATTTTAATTATAAATTTTGTTTATTCACAGTGGCATTATTTTCATGTTAATGTTTCCTTTAATACAATTATCCTGTTTTTATATGGCCATTGGTAAAACTCCAAATAATATGAGAATAGGTATTGTTAGTAATGAAATAACCAAATGGGACACTTGCTATGATCCAGATTTGATAACCGTATCGATACATAATGAAACGTGTAATTTTAGTACGATATCATGTCGTTTTGTTACGAGTCTAGAGGATACTGATCATATAAAAAAGGTAAAATTTTTTTAAGAATATCCTCCTCCATGTCTATATCATAATAAATATTTCATTTCTTTAGGTTTTCTATGATAATGTAGAAGATGCTCATCGTGATTCTAAAGCTACCGATATTCTGGGTTATATATTCTTTCCAAGAAATTTCTCTACCTCTATGCAATCTTTGATGGAAGATGGTCGTTATGCTGATGATGCTGCTGTTAATAGTGCAGAACTGGCTGTACATATTGATATGACTGGTAAGCTTAGGAAGACATGAAGAAGTAACATAATAGCTAAGTCTGATCTTAAACTAATGGAATTGAACTAGAACTGAACAAGAATTGAACTAGAACTGAACTAGAATTGAACTAGAACTGAACTAGAACTGAATTAGAACTAAACTAGAACTGAACTAGAACTCAACTAGAACTGAACTAAGACGAAAGTAGAACTGAGTTAGAGCTGAAGTAGAACTGAACTACGACTGAAGTAGAACTGAATTACGACTGAACTAGAACTGAACTAAAACTGAGGTATAACTGGACTAGAATTGAACTAGATCTCAACTAGAACTCAACCATAACTGAACTAGAACTGAACTAAAACTGAACTAGAACTGAACTAGAACTGAACTAGAACTGAACCAGAGCTGAACTAGAACTGAACTAGATCTCAACTAGAACTGAACTACAACTGAACTAGAACACGGCCCAAATTACGGCATACGATACCGATCGAATTCTAAATGAAGATTTCGATCGATATCGTATGCCATAATTTGGGCCCAGAATTGGTATATCTTTTGTTGAAATCAGGTCCAGTTTCATGCTTTTTGTTTTATTATATATTGAGAACAAAAATTAATTGTTTTGTACAAATTAGTTTCCGTCGCCAAAATTGTTTATATATATTGAGAACAAAAATTAATTGGCACCAGTTTCTGATTTGCTGTAATTGTTTTAAAAGAAATATTATGTTATATTAAGAAAAATTTGTGTATAAACAATTGCCGTCGGGCAAAGAAATTGTATATTGAGAACAACAATTAATTGTTATTTTTAAAGAAATATTAAATTTTTAGTAATGAACTTTTTGTTATTTCTACTAGATCGTCAAATTGCTTACTTTGTGGAAAGAAAATTACGTGAACATTATCATACCTTCATTAAGGAAATTCTAACAGATTGTAATTTACCTCAATCATTGGCCACCATACCGGTAAATATGCAAGAACCTATTTATGGTTCAGAAGAAATGGAATTTCAACAATATGTAGCTCCGGGAGTAGTAATGACGTAAGTTAAATATTTATCATAAACATCAATAAATAAACAAAATAAATAATTAACTAATAATAAAATTATATATTTTTATTAGAATGGTCTTCTTTTTGGCCACTTTAATGACAGCGGCAGTATTCATAGAAGAACGTATGGATGGTGTATGGGATCGTACTTTAGTAGCCGGTGTTTCGGCGATGCAAATGTTATGGGCTCATCTTTTGACACAATTTATTATCATGGTTATACAAAGTTTCGAAGTGATTATGTATATTGGCATAGTATTTAACACTTATAATAAGGGCGATACAGCTACATTAATATTTCTACTGACATTGACCTCATTTTGTGGCATGTTATTTGGTAAGTTTAATAATTATTTAAATAAAAAGCCAAAAGAAAAGAGAAGAAAAATAAATAAACAAAATAATTTATGAATGAATCGCTAATAACTTTAACGAATATCTTATTAAAGGTTTACTCATCTCGGTGTATTGTAAATCTCATACGGAAGCAAATTTTGTAGCCACCGGTGCCTTTTATCCCATGATTATTTTATGCGGTAAGTTTGAGTTTAGAATTTTTTTTTGCGCTCTTTTGAAATATTTTATTTTTTTTTTTCTTTTAAAATATTACAGGTCTTTTGTGGCCCTTAGAGGGTATGCCGAAATTTTTACAAGATATTGTGGTATACTTTCCCTTTACCTTGCCTTCGATATCGGCTCGTAATATTTTAGAAAAGGGCTGGAGCATTACCAATGTTCACGTGTACAATGGTTTCCTAGTTATGTCCGCCTGGATTGTTATATTCTTTACATTATGTATGATCGGTCTCAAAAGAAAATCATAGTTTAAGTAATGCCCCTTATTAAGCATTGCTATCCCATTTTTTTAGAAAATTATTAAGTAGTGTTTTTTTTTATTTTATTTCATTTTTTATAATTTTATTAAATTAATTTAAAGTATTTTTTACCAATTCTCGCATAGTTATTCATTCATACCTACATACACATCTAATCATTGAAATTTGCATTAGAAAAAAATCCCCTAAAAAAGAATCCCATAATTATTTATGTTCAAAAAAACACAAATTTTCCACAAATTATAATAAATAAGCTTATAAATTATGTACAATTTAAATTCATTTATAACAATTTGTCTTCAATATCATTTGACGCATTTTTTATACGACAAAAATTTCATTTTTTATCAAATCCAAATTTAACAACAACAAAAAGGTAACAAGTATAATTTATATGTATTTATGTATTAAAGTGTATATTGATCAGTTTTTTTTTAAATGTATAATTTTATTATATTATTTATAATTTAATATGTAAAACATGTATACAAAAAACAACAACAAACACATTATTTCTATTTTATAATAAAGAAAAAAAAGGTAATTGTAGTTATGTAGTAGTGTAGCTTTAGTAAACAAATCAAGTGTATAATGCGAAAGCCAAAAAACAATCTTATAAAATATTTTTTGCAAATAAATCTTCATAAAAAATTAAGTGGAAATCTTTTTATTAAGCCTAAAAGTAGGCAATATAAATTATTGGAAATGAAACAATCCGAATTAGAGAAGTAAATGTGGGTATTTTTTGGGTACAATATATAACTGAAAAGAACCAAATTGTCTGCTAAAAAATAGGATTGAACAGATCTACAACTGAACAGAACTAGAACTGAAATAGGACTGAACTAGAACTGCACTAGAACTGAACTAGAACTGAACTAGAACTGAACTAGAACTGAACTAGAACTGAACTAGAACTGAACTAGAACTGAACTAGAACTAAAGTAGAACTGAACAAGAACTGAACTAGAATTGAACTAGAATTGAACTAGAACTGAACTAGAACTGAACTAGAACTAAAGTAGAACTGAACAAGAACTGAACTAGAATTGAACTAGAACTGAACTAGAACAGAACTAGAACTGAACTAGAACTGAATTAGAACTGAACTAGAACTGAACTAAAACTGAACTAGAACTAGAACTGAACTAGAACTGAACTAGAACTGAACTAGAACTGAACTAGAACTGAACTAGAACTGAACTAGAACTGAACTAGAACTGAACTAGAACTGAACTAGAACTAAACTAGAACTGAGCTAGAACTGAAGTAGAACTGAACTAGAACTGAACTAGAACTGAACTAGAACTGAACTAGAACTGAACTAGAACTGAACTAGAACTGAACTAGAACTGAACTAGAACTAGAACTGAACTAGAACTGAACTAGAACTGAACTAGAACTGAACTAGAACTGAACTAGAACTGAACTAGAACTGAACTAGAACTGAATTAGAACTGAACTAGAACTAAACTAGAACTGAACTAAAACTGAACTAGAACTAGAACTGAACTAGAACTGAATTAGAACTAAACTAGAACTGAACTAAAACTGAACTAGAACTAGAACTGAACTAGAACTGAACTAGAACTGAACTAGAACTGAACTAGAACTGAACTAGAACTGAACTAGAACTGAACTAGAACTGAACTAAAACTGAACTAGAACTGAACTAGAACTGAACTAGAACTGAACTAGAACTGAACTAGAACTGAACTAGAACAGAACTAGAACTGAATTAGAACTGAACTAGAACTGAACTAGAACTGAACTAGAACTGAACTAGAACTGAACTAGAACTGAACTAGAACTGAACTAGAACTGAATTAGAACTGAACTAGAACTGAACTAGAACTTAACTAGAACTGAACTAGAACTGAACTAGAACTGAACTAAAACTGAACTAGAACTAGAACTGAACTAGAACTGAACTAGAACTGAACTAGAACTGAACTAGAACTGAACTAGAACTGAACTAGAACTGAACTAGAACTAAACTAGAACTGAGCTAGAACTGAAGTAGAACTGAACTAGAACTGAACTAGAACTGAACTAGAACTGAACTAGAACTGAACTAGAACTGAACTAGAACTGAACTAGAACTGAACTAGAACTGAACTAGAACTGAACTAGAACTGAACTAGAACTGAACTAGAACTGAACTAGAACTGAACTAGAACTGAACTAGAACTAAACTAGAACTAAGCTAGAACTGAAGTAGAACTGAACTAGAACTGAACTAGAACATAACTAGAACTGAACTAGAACTGAACTAGAACTGAACTAGAACTGAACTAGAACTGAACTAGAACTGAACTAGAACTGAACTAGAACTGAACTAGAACTGAACTAGAACTGAACTAGAACTGAACTAGAACTGAACTAGAACTGAACTAGAACTGAACTAGAACTGAACTAGAACTAAACTGGAACTGAACTAAAACTGAACTAGAATAGAACTGGAACTGAAACAGAACTAAAACAGAACTAGAATTGAACTATTACAGAACTGGAATAGAACTAGAACAGAACTAGAACTGAACTGGAACAGAACTAAAACAGAACTAGAACTGAACAAAAACAAAACTCCGACAGAAATAGAAGTGAACTTGAAGATAACCAAAACTGAAGATTAACTAGATCTAGAAAAATACACAATTTAAACAGCCTTAAACTTTTAACCATAATCAGGTCTTTGAACTTTGATTTAAACTTGCCAAACTCTTTGTACATTCAGTTTCCTTTTAAACATTAATTTTCCTAACACCTTTTCTATTTAAATACAACCATTTAAACCATAAAATTATTTAAATAACCTTGACCCTTTTTTACATGCTATCCAACATCTCTTTCGTAGACACGTACATATTTACATATTTACGTATTCCTAGGTCATTGAACTTTAACACATCCTCAAAGAAGTAACCGGCCACAATGCTAGGGAACATTTAAAATAATGTACATATTAATATAAGGTATAGATATAAACATTATTAAATCTGTTGGAATAAGTCCATTCACCCAACAGAACTGGTGCTGTTGCTGTTTCTGACTTTCACCTTCATTAAATGCTTAATATAAAAAGGCAACAAAAACACTACTAAAAAAAACAAAGAAACCACCTTTCTTCCTTCCTCTCTCTCTCTCTCTCTCTCTCTCTCAACTCTTTTTCTCTAGTAAATTTTTGCAAACTTTGAAAACAATACCAACACAAATACATAGATTTAAAAACATCCTTGTATAATTTCCATTCTACACTCACATAGACACCCATTTGAAAACACAAACAAACAGAGATTTTTCCATACCTTTGGGGCCCAAAGATACTAAAATGTATTCTGTTCATGGATACGTGTGTCTAAAAGTGTGGGTGTCTGGATGCAAGTGATGCTAAATAAAACTTTTGTTTAAACTTTTCTGTATAATGGCTATAATTCAGTCTGTCTGTATGTGTGTTTGAGTTAAAGTGTAAATTTTAGAATCCTTGAATAAAATCTAGTTCAAAAGTTTATTGTTTGTTTTTATTTTACGTAAAATTTTTGGTTTAATTACCAGAAACAAACCAAATGATTATGAACTTATAAAATACAGTGAAAGAAATTGAAACGAAAGTTAAACTGCAACAGAATCGTGTTGAAACGAAAACTGCCATTGAACAAGAATTAAATTAGAACTGAACTAGAACAGAACCAGAACTGAACAGAACAGAATTAGAACATCTAGAACAGAACTAGAACAACTTGAACACAACTACAACAGAACTAGAACAACTAAAACAGAACTAGAACAGAACCAGAATACTACTAGAACTGAACTAGAACTGAACTAGAACTGTACTAGAACTGAACTAGAACTGAACTAGAACTGAACTAGAAATGAACTTGAACTGAACTAGAACTGAACTAGAACTGAAGTAGAACTGAAATAGAACCGAACTAGAACTGAACTAGCACTGAACTAGAGCTTAACTAGAAATTAACAGGACTTGAACCAACTATTATGAAATATATATATTTTTTTTTCAGTGTACCATAAGTTTTTAAACTATTCCACAAATATATGTACTATAGTATATTTTAAAATATATTATAAAATCTCAACTGTCCTAACTAAGTAAAACTTTCTAAAGTTGTCTTGCATATATACATATATAGTATATATTTCCATGAGTCCTTGTGTATATGTTGTGAATTTATAGAGAAAATATTCTAAAGTCAAAACGTTTATGTCTGCTTTAATGTCTAGCACCAAACAAATTTTGCACTTTTTAGGTGGTTGTACATTGAAGACCTTTTGTCTCGACTCATAGTATGAGTTTTTATTGCCATATTTTTGTTGGTGTGTGTTAGTATTTCTAAGTGTATAAATTTATAAATGAAGGTCAAGTTTAAATATAATTTATAAAACTTTATTATTTACTTAAATAGACCACAAAAAATAAGAATAAAATAAACAAAAAATGTGTTATTATTAGATGACCTAGAATTTTAGAAATTCATAGCATTCGAATGCGTATGTGTGAGAAAATTAGTTTTTGATAGAATGTAGAATAAATGGAAAGTATATGTAGATATATGAAAGAAGTTAATGACATTTGGAAAATGTTTTTATATCCAATAGGAATACTTGAAGAGAAGGACGATTAAAAGTGTATTGTTATTTGTGATTTTATCAGTACACTTAAAACTATGTAACTAACTAGAACTAGAACAAGAACAGAACTAGAACAGAACTAGAACATAACTAGAACAGAACTAGAACAGAACTAGAACAGAACTAGAACAGAACTAAACTAGTATAGAACTAGAAAAGAACTAGAGCAGAACTAGAACAGAACTAGAACAGAACGAGAACTAGAACAGAACTAGAACAGAACTAGTACAGAACTAGAACAGAACAGAACAAAACAGAACTACAACAGAACTAGAACAGAACTATAATAGAACTATAATAGGACTAAAACAGAACTAGAACAGAACTAGAACATAACTAGAACAGAACTAGAACAGAACTAGAACAGAACTAGAACATAACTAGAACAGAACTAAAACAGAACTAGAACAGAACTAAAACAGAACTAAACTAGTATAGAACTAGAGCAGAACTAGAACAGAACTAGAACAGAACGAGAACAGAACTAGAACAGAACTAAGACATAACTAGTACAGAACTAGAACAGAACAGAACAAAACAGAACTACAACAGAACTAGAACAGAACTAGAACAGAACTATAATAGAACTATAATAGGACTAAAACAGAACTAGAACAGAACTAGAACATAACTAGAACAGAACTAGAACAGAACAGAACTAGAACAGAACTAGAACAGAACTAGAACAGAACTAGAACAGAACTAGAATAGAACTAGAATAGAACTAGAACAGAACTAGAACAGAACTAGAACAGAACTAGAACAGAACTAGAACAGAACTAGAACAGAACTAGAACAGAACTAGAACAGAACTAGAACAGAACTAGAACAGAACTAGAACAGAACTAAAACAGAACTAGAACAGAACTAGAATAGAACTAGAATAGAACTAGAATAGAACTAGAACAGAAATAGAACAGAACTAGAACAGAACTAGAACAGAACTAGAACAGAACTAGAACATAACTAGAACAGAACTAGAACAGAACTAGAACAGAACTA